TGTAGCGATGTTGATCACTAGCGAAACACACCTACATAGACATGACGACTTAACCTAACCCGCACGCTATAAGGGCTGAGACGTTCTAGGAACTGATAAGTGCCTTGCTGTTGTCAAAACTCTTAAGAAGTCACTATTTGCCATCCTCTGGTTTTCGTATGTGAGCAGAGGCAATTATTTGATATTTACGATAATAGTGCGGATATAATCAGTATGAGCTGTAAACTGGCTGGTATATCAGCAACAATGTTGGATGCAGTTAACAGCAGCTCACTTGATTTTCCTCTTAACAAGCAATATCGACTCGAACTCGTGCCTGTGGAGACTGAGTCTTCTTTCACAAGAGGGCGGCAGTGGGAATTACGCCTTAATGTTGATCCAGTTGTTTGGTTCGATAAAAATGTACATGAAGCCGAAAGCGAAAATCAAAAGAACGAATTCTTCGTTACAGCACGCACATATGTTGACAAATGTCGTCGCGGTGTTACCACCGAAAACGTTTTGGACTCATCGAATGCTCAACTACCAGTCGCATGTCCACGCTATTGTGACCATCAGCTAACGTGTACTATAAAAGACAGACCCAGGTTTCCTTGTCCCTACGTGCATGTCTCTATACTTTGCAAAAAGACTCAGATAGTGACAACTAATGGACCACGCGATTGTGGCCATTACGTTTTGAACGAACTGGTCGTGATGCAATGGCCTGTTGAAAGTTCAATTACAAAACTGTACTATGCTTAGAGATGGGCCGTAATACGTAAACCTCGAAAGAAAGGAACGAACGATTATTCGTTATTCACTATACCAAACTATGTTTCATTTATAACGAGTAAAGAATATTCGAATAATGAGTATACGAATACACGTCCGAAAAGAAAGAGAAAAGAGCTTAAACGTACGTAACAAACGTAATACGGATTGAACGTAACAGTAGTTTTCTCTTATATATGTTGAACGAAGAAACGTAAGAGCCAATGAGTAAGGAACTTCTTACGTTTCTTACGTAAGGAGCTCATTATTACGTTTAGGCGAACTACTTTCGTCTGTACTCACTCATAAATCAGTGATAGTATAGTTTGTCTTTTCCGAATGAGAACGAACGGAACTAAGTTATATGAATAGTCGACTATTCGTAATGAGACATAATGATGAAATGAAAAGAACGAAAGTGAGAAAATTCATCCTTCTGTCGCTTCGTATACTTCACATTAAACGTATTCGTTCTATTCGACTTCATTACGGCCCATCTCTAACTATGCTGACATTGATTTAGGTCAAAACTTTGACTAGGAAACCTCGGCGTTTATTTTGGTAGCCAAAAAAGAAATAGTGCGAGAATTCATTTTAGATCCGATGCCTCCATGGCATGTGTCTAACAGGTTACTTGTTCAATTGCCAGTATTCTGGGAGACTGCTATTCTCATATGTCGGCTACTGCGAACTGAGCTTTATGACCGTTACGAAGAAAACAAGATTCAAACAGATGTTCCATGGCCCGTTGATGGTATTGCTTTGAACTTTGGAAGATGGGAAACAGCCGGAGCCACAGACACTGGAGCTATTGAGTGTCATGGGCATGCACATGTTCTACTTAGCCTACATTTTATCGAGCAATGTGATGACAGTTTTTTTCGCACTCTCAAAGGACGACAAGAGCCGAACCAAAACTACTGTCGAGCGAATGCGGAGCAAATGGAAAGAGATCGTTTGCTCAGTGCTGAAATGAAACAACATCGAGTTGAAATGAATCGTCTAAACGAGAAAATGGATAAGACAGAGAGAAGAATTGAGAATGTTTTGAGCTATCTACAAGAATTTGTAGGATCCAGAGAATTTTAAAAGACAATTGCTGATTTTCTAATATTTTACTGTTCTTCGCATAATACTCGCAATGTTTTGCTACCTGTCTCCTAGTACAAGAGTGCTATCGCTTCAGCATTAAACTTAATGAAAAGGGGTTGCGAATGCGTGTTCATTATCACAAAAGTCGTAGTCGAATAACTCGTGTGTCAAGCTATCCTTATCCAGAGCTTTAAACTGCTACTGTATCCCTGTGAATTCTGACTGATGGGATATGACGGTACAGTGTGTGCGTATGAGTATACTGATCATACAATGCCAAAAACTTAGAAGCGTTCTCTTGCTGAGGAAAGGATGCTAAACTCAACGTCTCGAAATGCTTTTGGATGTTTGTTGCTTGACAATTATCAGTTTACTTTAAGTCAAGGAACCCTAATAAATCGTGCTATGCATTTAACCCTGTTAGGTCTCAAGACAAGTTACAACTTGAGGTGAGTTCAGCACGTAGAAGATCTCGCTGTGTCGTCTAGACAACGTTTTGGAGCGATGTATCACCAATTTAAACAAGCATTCTGCTCACGTCCGGCTTTAAATCTATAAGACTTGCATTTTGAGTAAGATGGACTATGCACCCTAGTCATCAATTCTTATAAACGAATAAAACAAAAATTTTAGTGAAAACTTATATGCATCCTATACGATTCAGGTAAAAATCTTATCACACTCTTACAAGATTCGAATATAAGAAAACGTTCGAAAGTGCCAGGAATTTCGTAAGAGTTTTATAAGAATCCGATAAGAGATTTCTAAGAATTTCATAAGTGACTAGTAAGAATTCTGGTGTTATTCTGCTTAGTTTCTTATGAACATTTTATCTGAAAAAGCTGTTCCATAAAATGACGTAAGAGTAAAACAAATTTTTTCATTTTTCTATGGAAGGTAGCGTCATGACTCGTTCTAAGTCTCTACTACCTGTAGACTTACTGCAGGACGAGAATAAAATTCGAAAAAATTAAATTACATATAAAGAAAATAGAGAGCACGATATGTCGCATGTTTGCATAACTTCCGCTTTTTCAAACTGAGCTTAATACGACGCTTTCGATCTTTTTTCCGCTATAAAGGTGCCATTCAATTCACACTCGCTAAGTAGTAAAACAAAGAGCAGTGCGAGTACTAGTAATATGCATCAAAATCCTTTACATATCTGTCTCAATAAAGCACTAAAAGCAATCACAAAAGAATCTTTATATAGTACCCATATGAGTCATCATCGGATGGTAAGTTATTACACTCATTACCACACATCAAGATAGATAAGAACAACGCGACAAGTTTTGCACTTTCTTACGAAATGTCTTATCAGATTCTTATAACACTCTTACGAAACTCGTAACACTTTGGAACGCTTTCTTATATGATAAGAGGGCTTTTGATTATGGTGCGAGTCGTATCAGATTTAGATTAAAAACGTCTTAGCATCTAATAATAACAAGACAAGGTTTTTTCCAATTCTTATCTAATTCTTGTCAGTTTCTTATCTGATCCAGATAAGTATCTAATGCGAGTCTTACGAAAATCGCGGCACTTTCAAGCGTTTTCCTATATAAGACTTAAAGGTCCTTCAGTATGGTCTAAAATATATTCCAACAAAGCATATGAAGGTGGAAATGAAGTTAGTAGACGAGATAAAACATGTTTCAGAGACGCATCCTCTTCTTAAAATGAGAAAAGATTTGATACGCAATGCGATAGTGCAATCTCTTTATACGTTTTCGCCCCAATATGAATGAGAAGGGAGGAATAATAAGTGTTGTATGGTTTAAGGAAATGTCGAGATACGTGATTAAACAGGTGGATAAAGGACAAGGGATTGTAATGATGAGCAAAGATGCTTCTAAAGAGAAAACCTATATACTATTAAATGACACACGATTTCATGCGAAAGTTCCAAAAATATTCTATATGGGAAACATATAAAACTGTGAAGATAAAATTAATGAGTTCATTACACAGGACCATATTCTATCTAGACTCGCACGTAACATTAGACACAGAGGTCTTCCTAAATTACCAAACTTTTATATACTCCCAAAGTACATAAAAAGAGGTTGCTCGGGTAAACCGATAGTGTCAGGTATTGGTCATTGTATCGATAGAGCATCAAAATTTCTGTGTTATGTTTTACAACATTTGTCGACAGTTCATCTAAATTTCTGAAGGTATCTATAGACTTTTACGATCAACTTCGACATTTTTTTCCATTGAGAGACGACGGTTTCTCTTGGGAATACTTTTTTGATGGACATATGGTTCAATGAAAATGGCACAATGAAAGAGTAGAGTTGAGGATCCCAGGAGCACTGTCGGAATACCAGCGTCCAAAAATGACAATGGAAGATATTACTGATCTTTTGTATGTAGAATATAATCAACACAAGAACAAAACTGCGACCAGGAACAAGTTCAAAAACGAAACGAAAAATATCTACTGTTCAGTCATTCAAATTCGTATTTTTGATTCTTCTATGTGATGTAACTTATCCTTTGCATAAATTACCAAAAATGAGTTTCAGAATTTGTTCATAAGTATCACCTTTTTCATATGCCTCCAATGTTCGCCAAAATCGAAGAAAAAGTTTAACATATAAGCTTACGTTGATAAAATTAACGCGTGATTTATCGATTAATTTTATCATTCGGGCAAACGTTTGATCGGTACGTTTTCTTACAAATGCTTTCTCATGGCACCATAATCCTTCAATAGGATTACACTCACAATGGTACTTCGGACCAAATATGATATTGATTTTATATTTGCTTGCCAATTCTTCAAGTTTGGTGACCTGAATGCAAAAACAAGAATACGATCTTCAAAAGATAAACAAAGAAGCTCACATTTTGAAAAGCACAATGTTTTGATAGTAAATCACGTAATTGATCCAGTTTGCAACCCATTGGCATCGGTCAGACTCAAGCGTTACTAAGAAATTCATGTACATTGAGACAAATCTTGCGATATGTGCGTGAGAAAAAAAAATTCACTAGACAAATGCGCACCAGCTGTTCTTATTTTCTTGTCAGATTCATATATCTATTTTGCATGTTCACCTTTGTCACATCTCAAAATTTTCAAACGGCATACCACATTCTCTATAAATTTTATTTGTAATTCAAGCTTTTTGCTAACTCTGTCTTGATACTAGAATACAATAAAGAAATTATAACAAGCATAAAAAATACAACGTTAAGTACAAGTATTGTGCATCTGCATTTCACTCGATCCTTGACTGAAAGATACAATTAAAAAGAAAGCCTAACCACCGCAACAGTTATTACCATAACAGAACAGCAGGACGAAAGAAAATGGCTGTCAGTCAGTCAACCACACAGCTGACTGGCGCGTAAGGTAAACTAAAATTCCATTTACTTTTACTTCTTTTAAAATTCTTACGTTTATTCGCTTTTCTCTTCTACTAAACCATTGCGAAATGAGCACTTTCGTTATGCAATCGATGGTACACCCCAAGCAAAAATTCTCTATGGAGTGGATCTAGCTCCAACACACACGTAACCGGGCGGTTATTCACTTGATGGATCTAGCTAAATGTACCTTTTTACCTAGTTACCTAGCTCCAACCTAGTAGTAAACCGAGCAGTAGGTTATCATAATCGAGTAGGAATGGGAGGTTGACATCTAGGTTAACCGCCCAGTTAACCGACCGGTTAAGCTAGATCCAAAGATGAAAGATATTTGGTACGAGGGAGGTTATCAACTAGGTTAACCGGGCGGTTGGAGTGCCCAGTTAACCGACCGATTAAGCTAGATCCGAAG